ATGCATCACACGAGTACAAATTACACTGATATGTACAACATTAAGAAACAGTACTGCACATCTTAAACATGATAGTTTTATGGAGGAACCATGGAGGGTGCGCCATCCTAATCAATTCATGAAGTATGCGTGTCGTTAACCATGTATCAAAGTGTAAATCTGGTAATCATTTTGAACATTTGTGTAAATACTCAAGAAGATATTTATCATGCGTGTGACTTTGAGAGCAGATTGCCTTCTATGAATGAAAGTGAGAATTATGATTGTGTGAATGAAGCTTCAGACTTCATTGGATGAAGATTGCCACAGTAGATCAGATTGTGGTGACAGTGCGTTTGATAGTATAAGTCAGTGATCAGTTTATTTCGGTAATTATAACATTTCCATTATTGGTTGGTTCTCTTGATCATGTGTCCAAGTGTTTGCCTTCATTTAAGAAAAGTACCTGAATGTGATATTGTAAATAAAGACAATCTAGACATCAAGACATTTCATGGTGTTTGTTTCTTTCTTTCTTGTGTCTTGCACTCAGCAAAATGCCAAAATAATCGAGTCTGGACCACACAATCCTATGCTTGACATGAGCTTTGATCTGTGCATATACAATATACACTGCCCTGACATTATGTACTGACATTTAGAAATGCATGAATTTCATCATCCATATACAATACACTGCCCTGACATTTTGTACTGACATTGAGAAATGCATGAAGATCATCACCCATATACAATATACCCAGCCCTGACATTTTGTACTGACATTTAGAAATGCATGAAGATCATCATCCATATACAATATACCCAGCCCTGACATTTTGTACTGACATTGAGAAATGCATGAAGATCATCACCCATATACAATATACCCAGCCCTGACATTTTGTACTGACATTTGAGAAATGCATGAAGATCATCATCCATATACAATATACCCAGCCCTGACATTTTGTACTGACATTTAGAAATGCATGAAGATCATCACCCATATACAATATACCCAGCCCTGACATTTTGTACTGACATTGAGAAATGCATGAAGATCATCATCCATATACAATATACCCAGCCCTGACATTTTGTACTGACATTTAGAAATGCATGAAGATCATCATCCATATACAATATACCCAGCCCTGACATTTTGTACTGACATTTAGAAATGCATGAAGATCATCATCCATATACAATATACCCAGCCCTGACATTTTGTACTGACATTTAGAAATGCATGAAGATCATCATCCATATACAATATACCCAGCCCTGACATTTTGTACTGACATTTAGTTCACTGGGATGGGACTCAACCCAACAAAAGTGCTAGAATCTGTACTTTACTGAGAAGGATACACTTTCACCCTGTCAAATAATGGTTTTGCATATTTTATTTATCTCATTTGATGTGGGTCAGGGGTGGTAGGGGTAATTGATTTAGGACAGTCACGGCATACGATTTCATAAAAAAAATTATCCGAAATGATCCCGAAGTTTTTCCCGAAGTTTAACTGTGGTGACCCCCGCTGAAAAAATAGAGTATCGCCGTTTCTAGTTTGTGAACAATTGTATAATATAGGTCAGTGACCGCGTTGATAGAACGTATCCTACGTGGGCATCAGGTTATCTGATGTTTTTATCATGATGCTCTATTTATCTACACGTGATAATCTACCAAATCTTGGATCGGTTGGTTGAGAAGTGTTCGGCACGATTGGTCGTATATATATCACGCTGTATGAGCTCAAAGTACATCGGCGGACAACATTATTTACACTCAGTGTGTTCCGAATGACACAAGTAAGGTCTCTGTGTGAATGACACGACATGTCAGTGTCAAGCTAAGTCACGACAACTGATAACCTACTTGATACGTAATGGTGGAGGGACGATTTGTTCAAGGGCATTTGGTATCTTTGGCCGTTTAAATACACTGGTGGCACAGTAAATACATCTTCCCATGACATCAATACATTTGCTTGGGCGTTAGGGTAGCATAGTGGTTAAAGCGTTCGCTCGTCACGCCGAAGGACCGGGTTCGATTTCCCACATGGGTACAATTTAATGTGTGAAGCCCATTTCTGATATTGCTGGAATATTTCTAAAAGCGGCGTAAAAACTCACTCACTCAATACATTTGCTTTGATTTTATATGCACCATGTCACTGTATATCCTTTTAAATATAAGATTTTATATAAGACTTTTTCTGTAAAATGATTCGTATTTTTATGTGTTCCTCATCCACATTTTCAACCAGCAACAGAGCGAAAGGGAGAAAAAAGAAGAAGAGAGAAATAGAAATGTTCTTTTTGAAAAACTTATTTTACGAATTTTTGAAAAATAGATCACTTGGTAAAAGTCTTTAAATTATTAAGTCGCTTTAATTCTGTAACAAAAGATAATTGGTTGAGTAAGCATGGGTATAAGTATTAGTTATCACAGCTGTAGGGGAACTGAGGCGAGAAAACAGTGTAATCTTTAACGTCGTAATGAAACTTTAAACGGGCGAGTGATGGGTAGCAGAAAAATTACGGACAGTCTAAACTAAATGTGTTTTTGTGAACTTTGTTTTTGTTTTTTTAAATGAACGGCTTTTCAAAAGAAAATGAGAGTCTGAGACCAGTATGTTCATTATGGAGTTGAACAGGTGCCACGTGTACCTCGACTGAAATGAAGATTGGGTATTGCTAGTGTCACGTGGTGGACTATACGTTTTATCAATCGCCGGTGACGTCACAAACAAATATAAGGACTGGACTTTTCGTAATCTGTATTATTCAAATAATACAGTGTGTGACATAAGGGGGGTAACTCAAAACGTGTAACGATAAGAAATAAAATCTTCCAGATAAACGGTTTGTTTGTGGCGACGTTGACGTTATTTGACTCAGATTTAACGCGTTTACCGTAGTCTTATATATAGTACCATTCACGGGTAGGTTGGACACTACAGTACATTTTAACAAAATGTAGAAATTGTCACTTCTCTCCTTGATATTCGCTGATTCTTCTAACAGTGCGTGTATTCATGTATATAATCAAGTGGTTACTCTTATATCTCTGAGGGGCGGTGGGGTAGCCTAGTGGTTAAAGCGTTGGCTCGTCACGCCGAACACCCGGGTTCGATTCCCCACATGGGCACAATGTGTGAAGCCTATTTCTGGTGTCCCCTGCCGTGATATTGCTGGAATATTGCTAAAAGCGGCGTAAAACTAAACTCAGTCAGTCAGTCAGTCTTATATCTCTACTTTATTTCATCAAGGGCGTGGCAGCTAATTTGCCGGTGTCAGAGGGGCCGTTATCTATCAGTTGTCCGACTTCCATTTTTGTGAGTTACATCGCTGACTTTGCCTCTGCTATTAGATACCTGACTGAAAGTGAGGGTTCGGATCCCGGCTGGGACTCAACCTAACAGAACTACCAGAATCTGTACTTTACTGAGGAAGTATAATCCCAACTATTACGTATGTTACATCTGAACACTTTATAGATGGCATTATGTCTTCATAGTGATTCAAACGGTCACTCGTCACGCCGAAGAACCGGGTTCGATTCCCGACAATGCGTTATATTGCTGGTATGTTGCTAAAAGCTGTGTACATCCAACTCACTCACTCTCTGCTGTTGCACAATCACTACTGTATTGTGTGACTTACGCACACATTTAATCAATAAATATACATTTATAGAACCTCAAAACAGTATTTCATATATGTCATTAAGAAAGCGAAAATGAAAGACGCAATATGAAAGTTTATTGGAACCCACGAGGTAACAGGGCAGACCCAGGCTTATCAGTGGAGCGCCTGCCTAATAATATAAGGGAGGCAACTCTTCAGACCTAATCTCAGCTTCTCTGTTTATATCACGTCGGTTTTATTGGGCCAGCCATCTGAGATTGCGCCCCAGTTTTATCATGCCCATACCACCCAGACGCACTATAACCTATAGTCTGTTTGCAGTGAAAACGTACCGATGAATTTCACTTTAAACAGAAAAGTAAATCAAATAAAGTGAAATTAAGATTGCGAATCCTCATAATTTTACCTTGCCAATTAAACATATAAATTTCAGAATTTTATTCAACTTAGGATAAAAGTTGTTTAACAGACGATCATAGATTCAAATCGCTATTATTGGTTTGTACTACAAGGGAGTAAACGCAGTATTTGGAACAGTGATACAAATGCACGTGCAGTACGTGATGAGCGTTAACTTAGACCAACCCTACTTCTTCTCGGTGTTTCATTTAATGTGCATACCCCCTTGTAATACAAACCAACAATAGCGATGTGAAACTATGATCGTTTGTTAAACAACTTTTATCCTAAGTTGAATAAAATTCTGAGATTTAAATGTTCAATTGGCAAGGTAAAATCATGAGGATTCGTACTTCTAATTTCACTTTATTTGATTTACGTTTTTGTTTAAAGTGAAATTCATCGGTACGATTTCACTGCAGACTATAGTGAGTGAGTAGAGTTTAACGCTGTTTTGAATATAAATCTAGATATAATAGAACGTGTCGACTTGATGTAAGAGGCACAACGAAAATGAACCCCGATCATAAGGAGTTTGTGTACTCAAGGGACGCAACTCTACTTCAAAATTGCGGCGCCATAAACGACTTGGCCATCCCTGTTTCCCACCCGATCACTCCTTAATTTATCCATTTAATGCTCGACAAAATAATGGAACGTCATAAACTATCCATCCCTACCACAGTTTTGTATTATAAACTATTATCATTCTTTTTTACCTTTCTTATTTGTTTAAATCATTGAAAAATATTAAATACCGCATTGTTTTAAAAATCTCCTTTTAATCCCCATCTAACACACCCGCACAGAGTGATGCGAAATAATACGTATATGATATATCCCTAAAATATCAATACGCACTGGGGAGCCATAGGGGCGCTGCTTATCACGTGACGTTATTGTCAGGGTCAAGGAAGGTCACCCGCGTCGATGACGTCGTCATTAGCAACGTTGCGCGCTGGTGTACTTGGAGGTTGTAATAGACTCCCGATGACTGCTGATGTTGGCGTGTTTGACATCTGAGTCTGCCGGACGGCAGCCAAAAGAGAAGTTCCAAAACTTTCCTAAGTCCATCCAAAAGGACAATCGGTTAAGAAAGTTCGCCAGACGGGTTGTGCGCTTCTTCAGTCAGCCGCTGTCCCCAAGACTTAGCTGGGCAGTCAGGCAAATTGTTCGACACGAAGAATCGTTTGATTTCCTGAAATACGAGTGGAATAATTTCACCAAGATGCCGAGAGCAGCTTCGGCCACGTCGAGGCAATTCCTTCACATGTCGGAGATTATAATGGAAAAGGGCTACATGCTGGGGCCGAAGATTGGTTCGGGTAGTTACGCCAAGGTCCGGCTGGTCGAGAGGGTTTCTGATGGGAAGATCCTTGCAGCGAAGGTAATAGATCGAGAGAAGGCACCCGCAGATTATGTCCACACCTTCATGCCACGGGAACTGGAGATCGTGCAAAGCATCAAACACGAGCACATAGCTAACGTTCAGGAAATCATTGAGACAGACAAATCGGTGTTCATCATAATGGACTATGCTCAGAAAGGAGATTTGCTGGAGCACATAATGAACAACGGCGCGCCCAAAGAGAACGTGGTAAAGACAATGTTCAAGCAGATCGTCAGTGCTGTACACTACCTTCATGAAATAGGCGTTGTACACCGGGACTTGAAATGCGAGAATGTTCTCATAAAGAAAGATGGGGATGTGATCATCGGCGATTTCGGCTTCTCTCGAAGGTTTGATCAGAACAATAAGCCGAGCAAAACCTTCTGTGGGAGCGCAGCCTATGCGTCACCACAGTTGATAAAAGGAACTCCTTACGATCCTCGTCAGAACGACACATGGAGTTTAGGATGCATCTTGTTCATATTAACCTGTGGCTCCATGCCGTTTGATGACAGTAACATCAAGAAAATGGTGCAGCGCCAGAAAGAAGGGGTATGCTTTCCATCCAAGGTCAAGGATAAGATCAACCCTGATATCAAGGCTTTGATAAAGAGAATACTAGAGCCTGATCCATCCAAACGGTATACCACAACAGACATTTTGAACAACGTCTGGCTTTGTTCCCAGTCTGAAAGAACGGAAGACGAAGATCTGGAGGAGGCCCAACAATCCTTTGTGTCCTAGTTTTGCGTTTTTTATTTGATCTGCAACGTTTGCATATTCTAAGATGATCTCTGTGTAATTAGATTCTAGTACTTAATCAGACAAAAATATTTATCTGTCAAGTATTCCTTTGTAGTGTTTCTAGGTTCACATTTCAAGCATTTTGACCAACTTAGCTACATCAAGCTAGATGTATACATGTATTTAATATAAGGGAGATTTCTCAAAACATATGTTTCCGTATGTTTCCAATCCGTTTGTGGGTTGATAGAAGCTTCAATATATCAGTTCCTGGTTGAATTATTTGTGTGTATTGAAATAATGAGTATATTTAAACAATATGTCTGTAATTTGGTACATTATTTCTTTATATATTATTTTTGTCTGATGTAGAAATTCTAAACGTTAGTTATTGGTTGAATGATTAATTGTGCTTTCAAAGGGGGGTTACTTCTTAATTATATATTTTTGGGTTTTCAGTTTTTACCCATTCCCGTTTTCAGTGCTTAGTTTCATTAATAGGGTTATGGATGTTCATTGAGTTTAGGTACAGTATATCTGTTTCATTATATACAACTGTATTTCAGTACATTTCACTAACTTCAGCACAATCAGTTCTTTTATTCCCTGTTCAATAAGTTCAATTAATGCACCATGTAAGCAATGTCAAATATTTTTATGAAAACGCCTTGTTGATTTCAGCATATTTACACGTACTTACAAAGTTCGGCGCTATTTGGTTTTAACCACATACTTATTGATGGATTCTGAATTCGTGTTGGTTTTTCAATGTCTCCTTTTTTACATGCATTTTCTTTTTGTTGATGTGCTGATATTCCTGCTATGATTTGACGCATGTTTCTATATAGGGAAAAGACTTACACGTTCGCTGTTTTATATAATGTGTCCGGGGTGTAAATATGTGTATATATTTAAGATAATATATATGCTGTATACTTGCGGAACAATTCTTTGTTTGATAATTGTCACATATTGTAAATAGAACAACGATTAAGCATCGAACTGAACACGATAATGAATTTTCTAAACATAAGCATGCAGTTCCAATGAACTGTTTTGAATATGTGTTTGGGATATAAACTATTTTATATAGAATATTATGCAGTCTTTGTGTTTCTTTAAGTTGGGGCGGTGGGGTAGCCTAGTGGTTAAAGCGTTGGCTCGTCACGCCGAAGACCCGGGTTCGAATCCCCACTTGGGTACAATTTGTGAAGCCCATTTCTGGTGTCCCCCGCCGTGATGTTGCTGGAATATTGCTAAAAGCGGCGTAAAACCAAACTCACTCAGTCAGTCAGTCTTATTTAAGCGAGAGCGGTTTGAGAAGTGTATCATGTCTCGTTAGCCATTGGGGTAGTGAAAGGTTTGAAACTTACGTCGATACAACAATATACCAGCTGGAAATACCACAAAAGGATTCACACTTGTGTCAATGTGAGGAATTAACGGGCTCTTCAGCCTTACGATTGAGTGCGAGTAAGTTAAGTTTTTCACCGCTTTTAGCAATATTCCAGCACCAGTAATGAGCTTCAAACATTGTACTCATATGGGGAATCGAACCCACGTATTCGTCGTGACGATCGAACGCTTTGACCTCAAGGCTACCCCACCGCCCCTTTGAACAGCCTGGCGAGCGAACGCGATAACTACACAGTGACCGGAGCTATACTCTGCGTTAACCTATGTTGTGGAAACGACGAGCACGGGTATCGCCAAAGACCGAGTTGCTGTGCCGGAAGTATACAAAACTAGCTCGTCAGCGCTTGACTTCACTACCTCCGGCGATCTGATTGGCTAACACATTACACTGAATGAATGTGTTTCTTTAAAAAATATTTGTACTCGTTTTTAAAATTATTCTTACCAAGATAAAACATCAGATAGTGACATCTTGGATGATAGATGTTTGAGTTTCCCTCTCATTTTCGCACGTGCATTTGTTGTCATTTTATTAACCAATTTGATTGCGCTGACGACCTAGTTTTGTACACTTCCGGCACAGCAACTCTGTCTTTGGCGATTTAATAAAACCCATCAAATGCATCCCCACGGATAACGCATGTATATGCCTCCTACATACATCGGAGATATGGACAAAAGCTTTTGATACTTGTGAGACCTTTAAAATACGATATATTCATTGACATGTGCATAATTGTCCGGTTTTCGATCATGTCACCGTATTTCTGTGATGAACCTTTATGTATTATATAGTAGGGGGTGTTGATACTAAACCGGGGCCTAGTTTATCGATTTTCTGACCCGCAGTGGGGGCCTGTGTCAGTTTCTTTCGTTTGGTCTGAGGTTCCAAGTAACATCTGATTGCCAGAAGTATAATGCGAAAAATGATAAGAGCATAAGAAAATATGTTATACCAGAAACTTTGGGCTACAGCGAATATTTACATATTCTGCACTGAAGGTTATGAAGGGTCATGACAAGAAATGGCTCCGCCAGGAGCAGCCGGTGAGTTCTCTGGACAAGGGAGGCGACTCTAAACGGTAAAATGCCAGGTGTAACTGTGTCATGGCAAGACGCCCGTCTTCTCACTACAAACTGGCTCAGAGAGCACATTACACGTTGTCAATGTGTGAAACTTTGCCATGTACATATCACCGACAAGTCATAATGACTCTATAGGAGACAATTTAACACAGAGATACATATAGCATAGACAGGAGTCCGTGTCTTATCCTGTATAAAACAACATTACACCAGATAACTCACAGTGGTTTAACATAATGTTCATGAATTCAATAACTGCTTTCGTTCATATAGTTTTATAAAGTGATCTTTCTTGTAAGACTTTCTTATTTTCTGACTTTAAAACAAGTATAAGGTTTTTTTTGTAAATGAGAGTTTTGTAAGGGTAGTAATTAATTACATAAAGTATACAAACACCTGTCGTCATAAATAGATGATGATGATATAATAATATAATTCATATTCGATTTATCGGGGTTTTTTTCAACTGTTTAAGACTTTGTGGACAAATTCTATTTATAACTTACATTATTCAGCCTCACCTTTCTGTACATAATCCAGATCCACTGATTTGTCCCTGACCATTGGTGTGTGATCCTGACGCATTACGTCAGAGCTGAATATCGGCTTACGGCAGATTATAACGGAACATACATTGCTTCACTGCATCGGGAGAAAATATACTGATCCAGGGACGTTGGAGACAGAGAGAAGAATGACGCACAGGCGGAGAAAGAAAGAGGTATTTCAGTTTCATCATCAACCCATCCATTACCCTGTCCTCCCATTATTGACGCGAACATTATCCGCGAAGATGATAAACCCTGAAACTAAGATATCCTCTTAATACACAGAAAGTCAGAAGCGAATGGGGTAGACTGTGTTTTCGATGGTGATAGTTTGTTGAAACACATTGTTTTGAAGTTTCATATTTCCAAAGTGAATTAATCTCTTTGTTTTCATAGTGTGAATGAAGTCGATTTGACCTTCTTTGAACACTATAACACCAGATATGGCGTGTCTGTTTGAGATGGGATAAAACCCCGAAGTAATGCAGTTTTGGTTTGTCTATTTTAAAGCGGTACTCAGCAATATTTCAGCTAAGTGGTGGCGATCTGTAAATAAACGAGTCTGGACCAGACAATCCAGTGATCAACATCATGATCATCGATCTACGCAGTTGGGATACGATGGCATATCTCAACCAATGCCGTCATTTGCCTCTTACGAAAAGCATTGGTTTTTGACAAAGGGTATTAACTCATGCATACAATAGACAACATTTCAAATATTATGACCATAATTTAAAAATTGACCAAACAAATTACATAGTTTGAGAGCATAAAACGAAATGCTGCAAATCTAGGATCCAAAACACAACTGTCATACCGTATGAAGTACATCACCATTAAATAACAACTTATTATTTGTTACATTTCTAGCCAAAAACTGATTGATAGTTTCCCGGTGTATCTGATACTAAAGTTGAAACACGCCGACCCCAAGGGAATGTGTCATCAATGTTTAACACAAGTCCGCTGAGGGCATTGTCCTCAAACAGCGAAGCCATAAAAAGGATTTACTGATACCATACAAGCCCCTTACACAGAAACTCGCTACTGAAAACACTGCAAGGAGCTGCGTTTACACTACATACAATCAAAGTATATGCTTGAGACAATCAAACGCCTTTCAAACCTGCCTCACCTGGCCTGAACCCGAACTTAAGACAAGAATAAAGGAAAACAAACATAATCCAAGATAGTCGATGATCGGCTTGACGATTCCCTAAATCATGGTCTCTGATAACCCTGTGCTACTATACCATGTTTGTTTTTCAATCAAACATTTTAAACAATCGAGCGTTAGAACTCTTAGCTGTAGAGGGCGATCGGCCGACACGACATGACTTTGCTTTAGCTGGGAAGGGAATCTGTAGGGATTTCATTCATTTGTTATTCAACAGCATGTACAGAATTCGAGCCAGATTTGCCTACAGGGATTGTTAGTCGCGCTGAAGTGGGCCGTAGGGTTAGTCAACGATTGGCGTTTAAGAAAAAAAGCTTTGAAAATTTATGGAGCGACCATTTGGGAGATATTCAATAGCGCTATCGAGTGATCGATCGTTCGAACGTGGGTCGCTAAGCGCGATTGTTTGAACGCTGCAAGTATTTGAGAGTCGCCGAGCCGCTATCGCGGTATCCGACGACATTAGGCTTGGAGACGTTGGTAGGAGTGGACGTGAGAGTGGATTTAATATGGCTTTAAAGGTAAGTGAAAGTGTTGACCGCTTGTATATATAGCTATATTGTGTGTTTTTTTCTGGGTTTTAAAACAAATTACGTTATTGGATAATTGACTTGTGATATTTTGTGTGGCGTTTTTATCGTTAAACGTAACCTTGTCTCTTGTTTGACAATTGAATAGCCACATTGTCTGCAGTGTTTACATATTTAGTTGTATCGGTGAAAGTGAATATTATGAAACCAAATTACGTTGTATTGTCTCTTTTAAAAATGTAATCGTCTTTTCCTGATAGCTGAGTGAGTGAGTGAGTTTAGTTTTACGCCGCACTCAGCAATAGTCCAGCTATATGGCGGCGGTCTGTAAATAATCGAGTCTGGACCAGACAATCCAGTGATCAACAACATGAGCATCGATCTGCGCAATTGGGAACCGATGACATATGTCAACCAAGTCAGCGGGCCTGACCACCCGATCCTGTTGGTCGCCTCTTACGACAAGCATGGGTTACTGAAGACTCATTTTAACCCGGACCATCACGGGTTTCCTGATAGCTGATTATTTCTGTTAAATCTAAACTTGATTTGTCGATATATATGCTACTCAATTCACAAATTATGAACAGCATCAATATATTTTCACACGTTTTCCATGTCGGATTGTTTGTTCAGTTCACATGCGAATAATCGTGGCCGATATAGTCACTCCTAAACCGTCAACCCGTGAAGGTCTGGGTTAGAATATTGATCTTCAATAACCCATGCTTGTCGTAAGAGGCGACTAACGGGATCCGGTGGTCAGGCTCGCTGACTTGGTTGACACATGTCATCAGTTCCCAATTGCGCAGGTCGATGCTCATGTTGTTGATCACTGGATTGTCTGGTCCAGACTCGATCATTTACAGACAGTAGTGATGACACTCCACACTCTGAGAGAGTGGGTTCGAATTACTGAAGGGAATCAACCCAAGAGTATCAAATATAACATGTGTCACATTTTACCACTTTCTAAATGGCATGATACACACGTACCATTCCAGGCTGTTATCCCACATTAAGCTGACACGCCATAATATAAATAGAATACTGTTCAAATTATATGCGAAATCCAATTCACTCCATCTTTAGAGATATTTTCAGCACTTTAAGGTCGTAGGCTTTTATGTACATACGATATGGTACACAATGACCCGAAGCCTAAATATACTGTAGTAAACGCTCAACACCGATGAGTGTTGTGCTGGGTTTAATATTACAATTAAAGCGTAAATGGGGACCATTCAGCTTAATGAAACAAACATTCTTGCTTCTCAGTTACATAATTGTTTTTTCGGGGTAGTTATGCAAAACATTAGGATAGTTACCGAAGTCCTTTTTAAATCTACCAAATATATTTACACCGCATAACTGTTAATGACAGTTTCTCGTTCAGCTTTGAGGGCGCGGTTCATCACCGTATGTTTCGTGACTACAAACGGCATCATAAACCTGTGATATATCAAATGGCGCTGTGTTTTGTGCCGAATTATTTGTCTCCGATCGAAAACCGATCAATTGCTTTGTGGTGGAAACGGGTACCAACAAGTCACGTGATCTTTGCTACGCAAGCCATCATTTTCACGCCGCTTGTCAAAATTGACAATGGACTCGGTCAATGGGTGGTTTGCTCATATCAGCGTGTACGTTGCACGTGAAATAGACACCAAGTAATCGGCGTGATTGTAAAAGATTTTGTAAAGGTACCTGCGAACTATATTTACGACATTGTTTGTTCTTTGAAGTAAGGTTTGATGAGTTTTAAGAGGCAAAAGGTGGCAAACTGAAAGGTTAGTTGATTCATCTGAGACTATTGATTCAGTGGTGATAAGATTCTAGAATATATCTCTAACACGTCCATGTTTGTGGTAGCCATCGGTTCAGGTATAGGTGTGTGCTAGCCGGCATATGGAATGCGTGACAAAGATTTAACACAGATGTTCTGATCATGTTAACGAAGAACACTATAACACCTAGCAATGGTGATAAAAAAATAAAGGAGGAGGTCTTATAGGACAGGCAATGAAATGAATGTAATAACTGTGTCAACGGAACTCAGCTGAAATGTTCAAGTGAGTGAGTTAAAAAATAAAGTCACATCGGCAGTATTTTAGAGATATATTATATATTAACAAAAACAAACTTACACGATGTACATATACCTGTCAATTCAATCATAATGATTGATAAAAGAATAACAACATCGTTGATGATAACATGACGATGAGGATGGTGATGATTGTGATGTTGGCGGTGGAAATTATGAACAAACTCATCCTCAAACCGTTAACCTCTCTCTTCTGTGTTTCGTGTCGTTATATACATTGGAATCAGTCGTAGAGACGCTCAACCACTAAGCAGACTGCTTCAGGATGTCAGATACGGTTGATCGTCCAATCTTCACATAAAACTTCTGCTCGCTCTACTGTTATTTCTTGATTAAATCGTCTCAGAAAATTATCCTGTGTTCCTAATTAACAAGTGTGATGTTCACTGACGTCGATGTCAAGCAGCCAGTAAGGCACACGCTAATTACTACTCACGTGTGATTGTTTGTATACGGTCGGATTATCCGACCGGCTGTGTTGATTATCGGATTAACGAATGTTTTTACAATGTATTTACAATAATCAGTTGCTAGATTGGTGTGTCGGAGTCGGAATGCGAGAATGTCGGATTAACGAGAGTAATTATCACTGTTTTAAATGGTTCCCTAATATTTGGTCGGATTAAGGTGATTGTCGGATTAATGAGTGTCGGATTAACGAGAGCTGACTGTACAGTTGTACTCTGATAGCTACTACTTTACACCAAGGTTTACTGTTGCTGTGGCACATATGTTCCAGTCTTCTACGACGCGACAAGTAGGCATGTGGAGATACGTTCTATTCTAATCTATCCAATACAGCCCATGTACTGTATGTCGTGGCTGGCACGTCTAGGTGACTGCAGTTCTGAAACTGTAGACCGTCTTTTGGGTTCTTTTTATGTCGTAAGATACCTTACCAATCTTTCAGTAATATATTTCAATTTCAGTGATTAGATGTTAGTTTAAGATACGACCCTTGGACATGACAGAAGCCTAAAAGGTTTGTTCTAATCCTAGATGTTTGTCAGTACCCATGTCTTCAATGCTCGTGTATATTTGGCTTTCACCCATGTTGTATAGGTCAACGCTGAGCACGCGTGCTTAATTTATTATACCCTACAATAGAAATCTGTAGTTATCTTACTGCTTAATTCATAAAATCTTATAAACTTTCATGAACAGCAAGTCCTTCAGTCACTGTTCATGAACAACAATCAGTCACTGTTCCAATAATCAAGTCACTGTTCCTCATCATCATTCTGTTTTCCAGCTGAAGTCTGTGTTCTTTGAACACAAAATATTAACATGCACTGGGCGCAAGTGATATACATAAGAGGTTGCATTTAGCAGTTTCAGGTTGCACCAGTGCAAGTTCTAAATGCTTAACTCGAGCCCTGGTAATTGTGGACAAACAACCCTTAAGTTAACGATACATTTACTTGCAGATCGCTGTCAACGCAATAAGAGGTGCAAAATCATTTCGACAACATATACATGTACATTAAGAGATACAAGACATCTTTGCTGATACACGCACACACATGTACACACATAACAACTTGAGTGTCATTTACAAGTTGGTGTAATAAGTGAGTGAGTACTTTCCTTTACGCCGCTTTCAGCAATATCACGACGGGGAACACCAGAAATGGGCTTCACACATTGTACTCAAGTGAGGAATCGAACCCGGGTCTTCAACGTGACTAGCTAACGTTTTATGCACTAAGCTGTTGGTGTGATGAACAAGGGAATAGTTCTATGGACAACAATCTCTTTATTACAATGCATGTGACGTTTCGCTGAAACCGTTATCAAGCAAGTGCTGAACAGTACTGTCGGTAAAGCATTCATATACATGGTCGCGGTGGGATAGCCTTGTGGTTGAAGCGTTCGCTCGTCACGCCGAAGACACGGATTCGATTCCCCACATGGGTACAATGTGTGAAGCCCATTTCTGGTGTCCGTGATATTGCTGTAAACGGCGTAAAACCATACTCACTCACTCATTTATATACATGAGTAATGTTATGTATCTCAGCGCCTTGAGCATGCACTAGTTGCGTGGCCCGCGCTATATAAATATCCTATGATAATTATATCTACCGTGGACGGACAGGCTGATAATGTTAACGATGTTTACACAATAAACTAGGTTGATGTACGAAGTATGATGGCTGTTACACACTCGTAGTTCTCGTCAGTACAACATAAAAATGCAAAAACATTGTCAGTATATTACAAACCTGACATGTCACGTACATAGTTCACCCCACTCGGTTCAAACTCGGGTCACACAAAAACAGTCCACGTGACGTAATTGTTAATACTTACAATGAGTACGCAAGTACGTTTATGCGTTGAAAAACACACTTAAGACTTTACACCCAGACTTATACTGTCTCAAACAAATCGTTTGACCCTTAACTTTATTGAAGTGATACTCTTTCTCCAGTTGCCAGTATCGAGGAAACGGTCCGCATCAACGGGTTTTTACACACGCCATATCCTTTGTAATTAATCAACATTAATGTGCATTGAGAGTTGTATTTACCAAAGATAAGAGTCCAACCTACGTACCAACTACAATCAGTATGTATAATCTACAGCAGTAAAAGGCAAAGTAAGAGCTACGTGTTCTCCGAAACACGAGTAGCACTGGCAAATAATACACCTCAACGTCAAGAGCTTGGTTGTATAATTAAAGGGAGGTAACTGGAATCGGTTGTAATGACACGAAAAGTCGCCACTCCAGTCAATCTCATCGTTTATTTCCAACATATAAAGGAAGATATACACATATTGAAACCAGCAATGATATCGACAGCTATAAATCTCATATAAAGGACCTCAGTGACCTCTGTTGTTGGTTGTTAACAAAAGGCTCCCACTAGCCGTGATTTCA